TGCGCAACATATAAATATTAAAAAGACATACTTGCAGAGATGGGCGAGTACGAGTAAATACTCGTACTCGTTCGTGTACACATTTTTAGATACACATACTCGTACTCGCAACTTTTTTTAACGCATACTCGAAAAAGTATGTGAGTACTTAGATGAAAGCCTGTTTAACTAAAAAAGCAAAGGAATTCAGAAGAGATTGATTGTTATACTATTATCACACAATAGTTTTCCGACAAAAATCCTGTATTTTTTACAAAAATTTATACTGGAGTAAAACTGTTTTGCACTTGTATTCATACTCGTATCTACCACTAAATACTGGTACTCGTACTCATACTCATACTCGAAAAAGTGTGTACTCGCCTACCTCTGCATACTTGCTCTGCTTGTCAAATGTGAGATACTGATGGTTTGTAAACACCATTTTGCGACAATACCAACGTTTTGTCATGTAAAAATCTAAATTATATTTAATCAGCATTAGAACAATAATTAGAAATGAAAACAGTTGGTATATATGACATTGTGAAGTTTTTAATATCTACATTACAATTATGTTACGGAAGAATAGTTGCTCAACTCAGACTCAATTGAAAGTTGATTACAAACGGATTTAAAATTCTAACGCTCTCCTTGACAAAGAATTTCTCTAACAAAATAACTTGCAGAATTAATTTAATGTTGATCACCTTTGTTCATTCGTTTTTATTCTTCACCACTCTATTTTTGAATATGACACTATAGCTCTACAAAACATATGCATCCATGTTTGATGTACATTATGAGAAGCCAAATTTGAAATTTACAAATTGACAATAAATGTAAAAAAAAGGTTTAGCTATAGAATAATAAAAATGTGTAAGTAGTCTCATCAACACGCATACACAGACATATAATTGTTATTTTGTAAAAATATTAATTGAATGACATGCGGAGAAAACTAGAAAATAAAATGTGTTATTCTGATTGCTAGATGTCATTTTATCTTAGTCTATTTACAAATCATAATGATTTAAATCAGTTAATTATGGTTGATTAATTCCCACAGTAATTGAAAACATATGATAATAGGATAATATCTTGTCTTTTCGTCTTCTTCAAACATTTTAGAACATTTGAATTAGATAAAAAAAAGATCAAAAGATAAGAAACAACTGAGAAATGCAAACATTCTTAAAACTGAAAAATATATTATTCTTAAATTCCCAACGGACAGTATCCATCAGTTTCAACAATTTCACTTTGATTAAAACACATACAATCATAGTCTGGGGAACCGGTTCATGTCAAACATGTTGGTCTGTCTTGGTAAATAGATCAAATGCAAACGAGATCAGTCGTGGTGTATGTATTTTTCATTCCTGTACGCAATATATTATGAACATTCTAATAGTAACATTAGTTTAGCCCAACTTCAAAACTCAAGAAATACGTTAATCTACGAACAACCGCTATTTTGATGATATGATGACCTTTTATCAATATTTAAATCGAATAGAAAAACCTGTCTTGTTTTGTACTTCATTTTTTTCGCCATATTGGATTTGCGAGAAAAATTCGCTACAGCGAGAAAAACATTTCGGTATTAATGACATTTTTTCATAATTTATGTTTGATTAATAGTAGTAAAGGTGATTAATCAACTTATTTTATTTTTAATTTTTGACTTCTTTTCTTGGACAACTGTAAAATGGCAACTGAATCATGTTTCGCTTCGTGTTTTTCTACTTCTATATACTTGATATAAACATTGTTAACTCCCGATAATATGTAGAATTAAACTTGAGTTTACAAACTAAAATATTATGTATCCTTTGAAAAAAATTTAGTCGCTAATTGGTATTTAACATACAAAGATATTCTAATATTTCTCATTAATATTTAGGATGAATAATCACAAGAATAGAGCCTATTATAGCAACAATCTTTTAAATATTCATTCAACTATAGAAGAAGAATGAAAATAGATTCTTTTTCCTGATTCTAATCCTAATAATAAAATGATTATGACATGGGCAAAATCTTCAATATTGTGATAGAATATTTAGATCAATCTCTTCTTTTCCTTCATATTCATCATAACTATTTCGGAAACTGATTTTCTATCGATACTATTTGTTTTTTTTAACCATCGAGTAAGAACATATTCATATTTTATAGAGAAAAGAAGAAAGAAAAAGAATTCACTACTCATATTACACATCAAACCCGTTTTTCTCTCTATGAGTTAAATAAATATAAATACTTGTCAATGTCAATGAGATCTATTTACTTGAGGATGATTCTCTCGAGAAAATCATACACATATTCATTTTACAGCCGCTATTTTCATTCTTCAAAGTATCCGTGCAGAATGACACCATTGATTATCAATTTGTTGCTGTTGTTTAATATTTTCAAACTGACTCGAACAAATGAAGTTGAATTAAGACGTCTTTTATTTCATGCAACATCCTATGATCCAAAAGTTTGTCCTGTAAAGCATCCAACAGATGTGACAAGTGTTCATGCAAATTTAATTCTAATACAAATTGAAAGTGTCGATGAAAAAGCACAGGTAGGTGTAATCAAACTGATATTGAATTGTTTTCCTTTTTTGTTCAAAACATAAAAAATATACGTATATTTTATTCATAGATTGTTACTAGTAATATTCAATTGATTTGTTCATGGTGTGATCCATGGATGACATGGAATCAAACTAAATTCAATAATATACCTGCATTATCCGTCCCTCATAATCATTTATGGACACCGGATGTTATTCTTGTCAATAGTGCCGATGCAAAATATTCGAGAAATCGAGAACATTATGCATTGATATTACGACATGATGGTAAATAATCCACAGTACTATTCTTACTCGATTTTTTTTATCATACTATTTCTGTTTATTATAGGTTACGTGAGATTTATGTTTCAAGATTTATGGAAAAGTAAGAAATACAATATAAAATATTCTTATATATCAAACCGATTTAGAAATTTTAAAAGCTTCTTCGATCGGAACCGCCTACAAATTTGGATAGCCGATAGCTTTGTGCACAGCAAATTTTGGATACTTTCGAAAAATTTCACGATGTTGTTTAACCTTTTGTCCATGAATTTCTTAAAAAAGTGTTGGTTAAAAACAACGGAGACATTTTTTTTTTTGAAGTTGTATACCAAGTAATCGACTACGAAAAGTGTGAATCTACAATCATTTTTCAGTGAACAAGATTTTAAAATTTCTCTATTAGATTGACATGTATTTTTATCAAATTTGTTTAGGTATGTGTAAAGTTCGATCAAAATATTTTCCATTTGATCGTCAAATATGCACAATTATTATTCGTAGTGGTGCTCACGATAAATTATCAATTAGATTTTATCAAAGACGTTTAATTCAACGTCATGAGTTTATTCGTGGTGAATGGGATCTTGAAGCAAATTATACAGAATTATTTGAAGAACATATTTCGGAACATATGTCTAATTTTAGTATGATCGGTTTCACATTAATACTTGTTCGAAATCGATTGTATTATGTTATGAAAATAATTTTACCATTTTCACTCGTTTCCTGTGTAACATTGTTTACATTTCTTTTACCACCACAAACCGGTGAAAAATTAACGTTGAATGTCACGATTCTGCTTTCACTGGTCATCTATTTACAAGTGTTATCAGGGTATATACCAAAATCAGAGGATGAAACACCGGTATTAACAATGTTCTGTAATGCCAATTTCTTTCTTGTTTTTCTCTCATGTATAATGACTGTGTTCGTACTTTTTTTGTACCATCGTCCATCAAGAGATACTCGCTGTGTACCGGTACTTTTACGATTAGTGGTACTAGATTATGTTGCACCCATCGTCTGTTGTGATTGTTCAAAATTAAAACGATCTCCGAGAAAACCAAAACATCGAACAACAACGAAATCATCATTAATCAAACTTTGTTCAATTGAGCAACGTGTTAGCCGTCTATTAGCATCATCGCAAAGTAATGGTACTACAACAGTGCGAACAACAACAAACACTAATTCATTATCACCATCACGATTAAATGAACAAGGTGTGGAATTATTAAAATGTTTACGTGTCATTAAAACGCATATCAAGAATTGCTGGATGAACACCAGTACAGCTTCAGATCATGAGTTAAATGGTACTAGTATGACGAATGAAATAAGAAATCGTCTAGACGAATGGCAACAAATTGCATTGGTATTAGATCGATTATTTTTTCTTATATTTATAATATCGATGCCATGCACAGGTTTACTCTTCTGGTCAACACGTTTTGCATCGAATGGAACTGATTATAAATCAAAGTATTCAACGTCAAAAATAGAAGATGCAAAATGTAATATGACGTATAATGAAGCGACGTGGTTATGAGAACAAAGTCATTTGTTATTTCTCTGGAATAAAAAAACTTCTTCAGCCAATTTTCACACCGAATCAGAGAATTTCCAGAATCCATTGCCTTACTCCTAGGAGCCATGCTTTTATTTCTGAACTAGTGTTGTGAAATACAGTACTGGCCAAAAGTATAGATTCGCCTTTATTTTTAATTCTTCTCCTCACCCATAATAGCTAGAACAAATGTGAAAAAAGATTTG